TACTCTTGTGGTTCAACCACTTAAAGTGCACAATTTGCTGGACATGGTGTACAGGCCTGTAATTCTAGTACTTGGGAGGCTAAGGCAGGAAGATCAGGAGTTTAAGGTCATTCTCGGGCAACATAGTAAATGTGAGGCCAACCAAGACTACTTGAAATTATGTCCCAAAACAAAACAAAAAAAAATAGCACTACAATAAAGCATCTAACATAATAGCTTTGGATATATTCAGAGTTTTATACCAAGGACTATAATTTTAGAATATTTTTATCTATCCATAAAAGAATGTAACTTCCTTTTAGCTATCATTCCCAGGGTCCCTGCATTCTCTCACCTCACCCCCCCCACCAGGCCTAGACAATTAGAAATCTACTATTTCCTTCTATGAATTTTTTTCTGCTGTACATTTTTCATAAAGGGAATCAGATTATGTCTTTCCAACTTACTCAGTTGGGAGCCATCTAAGAACTTCCCTGAAGGTTAATTCAGTGAGTCTGCCATGGATCCTGACAATTACTATTTGATCATCCTGCATTTCCTTGTTTTTGTTTGTTTGTTTTAGACAAGTTTTCATTATATAGCCATAGTTGGTCTTGAACCTGTAATCTTCCTGCTTCCACTTCCTGAATGCTGAGACTATAGGTATATACCATGCCCAGCTCTTTACCTCTATTACCTAAAGCAGGATCCGTACAAAGTGGACAAGAAATGTCTTTCAGGGCTCTGAGTGGGATCCCTGTAATCCACATGGTAGGGGGAAAGGAACCTGCTCCTGCAAATTATCCTCTGACCTCCACACTCTCAGGCAGACAGAGGCACACACATAAATATATCACACATACACACACACACACACACACACACACACACACACACACCATATAAAACACACAGTTTTTCGAGACAGAGCCTGTCCTGAAAGACATGCACACACACACATACACAAAAGAAATGTCTTCTAAGGCCAGGAGGGCCTTATTAGTTCATCCCTGTAATCCTAGCATTGAGAGGCTGAGGTAGAAGGATTTCTTTGAGTTCCAGACCACGCTGGGCTATAATGTGGGATCCCATCTCTAAACACAATAAACAGAAATGCCTTTGGATGTATATATCTACAATCTGTTACCTCTGGGCTTCCTAGATCCAATTACATCTTCCTATATCCCAACTTATGTCTTACTCTATCTCAATGCAACCTCTAAACATTTTAGGACGTAAGTAACGTATGTTTACTGTAGAAGAATCCTTAAAATTCAGCGCAGCCCTTAGGAGCATCTCCTGTCTCCCTCCAGCATTACCTGTCTAGAGCATAAGGCTGGGTTCAGTTACTCAGGACGAACTTACAGACTAAATCATAGCTCCAAATGCCTCTGCTATCTGTCTGCCAAAGTTGTCTGAAATGTTCATCATTAAAGCCCTTTTGATGTAGCTCAGAGGTTAAAGGTGCTCTCTGCTCTGATGAATTTGATTACAGCTCCTCCTATGAATTGAAGCCATAATATCCAGCTTGTCTTGGGGGCAGAAATTGTTTTGTCCCTTCTAAACAAATCATATGGAATTAAGGAAATGAGAGTTCAGTGTTCAGTGAAAGGGCACATGCTTAACAGGCACAAGGTCCTGTACTTAATTCCTGGCCGAGACATCTCCTCCTCCTTCCTAGGTAGCCTTAGAGCTATAGCATCATCTCCAGAGGACTGACATAGAAGCAGAAATGTTGAGCTAGTGGTGTGGTACACACCTGTAATTCTAGTACTCGGAAGGCTGATGCAAGGCAATAATTTGAGTTGGGCGGTGGTAGCACATGCCTTTAATCCCAGAACTGAGGAGGCAGAGGCAGGCGGATTTTTATGAGTTCAAGGCCAGCCTGGTTTACAAGAGCTAGTTTCAGGACAGGCTCCAAAGCTACAGAGAAACCCTGTCTCAAAAAAATATTTTTTTTTTGAGCCTAGAATTTCAAAATCAGGTGGTTAGTAAGACAAAGAAGGAAAGGAGGGGAAATGGAAAGGGAAGGGCAGGGGAGGAAAAGGAAGGAGAAAGATGTTATTTGAAATTGGGCCTGGTGGCAGAGACTTATAATCTCAGCTACTCTAGCGCCTGAAAAGTTTAAGACCAGTCTGGATTACAGAATTAATTTAAGGTCAGCAACTTAGTAAAATATCAGGCTTTAAAATAAAATGCAAAAAAGAGCTGGGGATATAGGTCAGTGGTAAACCATCTGCCTAGTGTGCCCAAAGCCATAGGTTCATAGGTTCCCCAATATAGAAAAAGATAATTGATAAAAGTTGGATGGCACTAGCACATGCCTTTAATCCCAGGAACTTAGGTGGCAGAGGCTGGCAGATCTCTGGGAGTTCGCGGTCAGCCTGGTCTGTAGAGGGCAGCCAGGGCTGTTACACAGAGAAACCCTGCCTCAAAAGAAAGAGCCAGGCAGTGGTGGTGCACGACTTTAATCCTAGCACTCAGGAAGCAGAGGCAGCCGAATCTCTGTGATTTTGAGGACAGCCTGATCTACAGAGTGAGTTCCAGGACTGGTTCCATAGCTATTGAGAAACGCTGTCTTAAAAAGCAAATCAAACAAATAAACAAAAAAGGAAATAGAATCTCAGGTAGGTGGGTCTCTGAGTTCAAAGCCAGCCTGGTCTGGTCTACATAGAAAGACCTGTCTCAAAAAAATAAAACAAAACAAACAAACAAAAAACAAAATGAAAGAATCTCTTTGAGAATTATTGTAGAAAATATGTCTTTCCCAGAAAGAATGACTCTAAGACCAAGAAAACTCTACTTAGAAATGTAGCTGATTCTACTGATGACTCTAGAAAGAAGTCAAGTTGTTGGAAGGTAGGTTGGGACTAAGGGGAAAAAACAGAAAGCAGGATAATTACATTTACTTTGTAATAACTGGGGGGCTGGAGAGATAGCCTAGAGGTTAAGAGCATTGGCTGCTCTTCCAGAGGTCTTGAGTTCAATTCCCAGCAATCACATGGTGGCTCACAACCATCTGTAATGAGATCTGGTGCATGCAGGTAAAACACTGTATACATAATAAATAAAATCTTTTTTTTTTTTTAAAAAAAAAAACATGGTCCCTCTAACTATGTCAGAAGCTTTACTTTTCAAGATTTTTATCACTATGTCAGTACAATTATCAACCTCATAGAGGAGCAATCTGAGATTACACAGCCACTAGCAAATCAACACGAGGGCCCACAAGATGGCTCAATGGATAAAAAGGCTCTTGCTACCAAATCTGATGACCTGAGTTCAATCCTTGAAACCCATCTTAAAGAACTAATTCCTGCAAGTTGTCCTCTGATGTCCATGGCACACATGTTCCTCTCCCCTCAAAGTAAATATTTTTTGTTTATTTTATTTTTATTTTTTTTATAATTCTCTTTTTTTTAAGTTTTTTTTTTTTTAATGTATACAACAGTCTGTCTGTGTGTATGTCTGCAGGCCAGAAGAGGGCACTAGACCTCATTACAGATGGTTGTGAGCCACCATGTGGTTGCCGGGAATTGAACTCAGATCCTTTGGAAGAGCAGGCAATGCTCTTAACCTCTGAGCCATCTCTCCAGCCCAGTAAATGTTTTTTTTAAAAAGTCCACATAATACCTAAGTCCAAGTGTCCTGGTTAGTTTTTCCTCCCCCGTTCCCCATTTCATTTTTGTTTTTTTGAAGGCAAGGTTTCTCTGTGTAACAGCCCTGGCTGTCCTGGAACTCGATTTGTAGATCAGACTGGCCTCGAACTCTCAGAGATCTGCCTGCCTTTGCCTCCTGAGTGCTGGGATTAAAGGCACCACCCTTAATTCACATGTGTGCACCACCACATAGTTACATTTTTTGTTTGTTTGTTATTTTTTTGTCAACTTTGGTACAAGTTAAAGTCATCTGAGAAGAAAAAACTTCAATTGAGAAAATGCCCCTATTTATGGTATATTTTCTTGATTAATGGTTGTGTGGCAGGGTGCCCAGCTCACTGTGAGTTGTGTTACTCCTGGGCAGGTAGTACTGAATGGTATAAGAAAACAGGCTTTGCCGGGTGGTGGTGTTAATCCCAGCACTCCGGAGGCAGAGGCAGGTGGATCTCTGTGAGTTCGAGACCAGCCTGGTCTACAAGAGCTAGTTCCAGGACAAGCTCCAAAGCTACAGAGAAACAAACACAAAAAAAACAACAACAAACAAACAACAACAACAAAAAAAAGAAAATAGGCTGAGTGAGCCCAAAAGAAAAAGCAAGTCTGTAAGATTCTGGCTTCTGCTTCAATTCCTGCCTCAAAGATCCTGCCTTGAATTCCGAGCTTGACTTTCCATGACAGACTGACGTGGAAGTATCAAGTAAACAAACCCTTTCCTCCTCAAGTTGGTTTCTGTCACAGTGTTTTATCACAGTTTTAGACATTAGGACAGTCTGACTCCCACATCCAGACACGCCGATAGTAAATATTTAAGTTTTATAACTAACATCTAGCATCTTGGTTTGTTTATCAAAGGTTCTCTAGACAGCCTGGTCTGTGGAGTGAGTTCCAGGACAACCAGGACTACACAGAGAACTCCCACCCCCACTCCCCACCCCCTCGAAAGACCAAACAAACAAAAAAGTTCTCTAGTAACTTGGCCTTGGCTGTACTAGCCCTTAGGCTCCCTCCAGTTCCCATTTCATCCTGGGACCTTTTCCTTGCCTTCCCAGGAGATAGCATTAACAGCTGGATACAAACTTGTTCTGTTTTTACCCTCAGATAACTAATTTAGTTTCATTATTAGTTTCAATTCAAAATCATAATTTTTAAGGCTAAACTTGAATATAAAGTTCTAATCTTATGAAAGCTGCTAACTTATTATAGACTGTTAGGAAATAGAAGTTAGTCAGTCACCCTTAAATACTGATAATAATTAATTACAGGAATAAGCCTTACTTAGTTCCTTTGAAAGACCCCTGAATTGGGTCTCCTCCCCTCGGCGACCCTGATGCCCAAGAACCAAGAACCAGTCCACTGGATGCAAAGAGGCACTTTATTATTCGCACAGGTGCCTGGCAGTTCGGGTGACTGAGCGCACCAGGCTAGGTTCGGGGCTGATTATATAGGGTTGGGGCAGCAAGATGCGGGCTTACAGAAGCAGATGCATGGTTACAGGGTTCTCATTGGTCATTTCAAATAAGGCGATGGAGCCAGGTCAGGGACAGGGTACATGGAAAGCAGATAAGGCTCATTTTAGCACCCTCTGGGCTTTCTGTTCCCTTCTATCTTCCTGTTGGCCAAGAGTTGGCCTCCAGGTGCCTGACCACAGATATCCTGTTTTTCTCATCAGTAGGGGCCCATCTGGCCTCAGGGTGATTATGCTGGCTTGGGAACAGCTTGACCTGGTTTGGACTATAGCTGCAATGGAAATTCCCTGAGTCTGTGCGTACTAGCGCTGTGGTGCCGGTAGCAATGCCCGCAGTTACCCCTCCTATCCCTAATAACATGGCCAGAGTAAGGGACAGTGGTTCCCTCTTGAATTTCCGAAGGGAATCTTCATAATATTGTAACACCGTCTCATCAGAATGATAATGTATGCATGGCTATAGCTGGACTAACACGCAATAATCTTGGGTCAAATTCAAAACAGCGGCTGACACGCAAGGAGTTAATCCAGTACTACATGCCCAATAGGTTCCATCTGGGGGCACCAAGTAATAATTGCCAGTTGAAATGCTTATGGTCTTGTTGTAAATGCCTAGGGTAGAAGGGGGGTGTCCAATGCAAGTGTCTGCTCCAGTCACTTGAGTTAGACTTAACTGGTGCCCCATTCCCAGGCATGCGCTGGGAGGAGAGCTAGAGTGATTGGAAAAATTTCCTATGAGGGCTATGCCCTCATAATATATTGGACTGGGATTTAGGCACAGTCAGCATTCTTTGGCCTTATCTGGGTCTGAGTGATTTAGGGCCTGATATGCCCCTCTGATTAGGTTTAGAAGTCTATCCCTGGTTCCACGGACCATGGTCAGGCCTCCGGATGTGGTTGGGGTGGTAGCAGGATTGGGAGTTCCTGCTGGAGCAACAGAGGCATTAAAGGGGGTGGCTGGTTAATTGGGAGGAGCTACCGGTTGAGAAGGGGGCTTCTGGTCAGCTAATATCATATTGGGCCCGACTGACTGGGCTTGTTGGACTGGCATAACTTCTCTAGAAATAGCGAATAGGGCTATGGGATCCCAGCCGGTGCGGTATAAACGGAGGCCCCAGCTCCTCAAATTGGCCCAATCGGCCTTTTTGCCAGCCTCTGTGAAATGTATCATCAGTGGATTACATCTGCCCCCTACTGTGGCCCCCTGGGCTGCTCCTTTAGTTGAGTCAAAACATGGTCCGCAGTCCTTCCCCCCACAGGTCCAGGGTCCTATCCCCTCATATCCTGGGGTGTTTCCCCGTTTCACTGTAATTAAATCCCAGGAGGAGGAAGGCTTCCAATAGGTTGTCCCTGTTGTTTCGCAACCCCAGTTAGCACAGAATCCTTCTGAGGGCCCCCCACATCTTATTCGTTCTCCCTGGCTGTGGCCATGCCCCGGGCAAACGTAGAAGGGGTGTTGTCTGGTTTTGGCCCTCCATCCCGGATGCTTGCATCCATAGCCAGGGAAGGGCTCCTGTTCTGACGGGTCCCAGTCTTCTCCCACCAAGTCACATAAGTCTATATATAGGGTGGGAAAGGTCGTCTGGATAGGTCCTATCAACATAGTGGTATTTACTGTTTCTCCAGTGATCAGATTGTAAATTTTCCAAGTCACCTGATAGGGGGTAAGGGAACTTCTTGGGCCATTGGCGCTTAAGGCCCGGGGGAGTAGTACAATGAAAAACAATGTACAGGTCAAGAGCGGACGAGCCTTATCTTTAGAGGGTTTTGAGAGCGTTGGAGTTTCCATGATGGTTCCGGATCCGGTCCCTCAGGAAGGTGTCCCGATTGAGCAGCCTTGACGTGTGATGTATGGATCCAGGCAGTAATCCCATCAACTTTCAACGCCGTGGGTGTAGTTAAGAGCACGGTATAGGGTCCCTTCCAGCAGGGTTCAAGGCTCCGGGTTTGGTGTCTTCGGACCCAGACAGCGTCTTTGATCTGGAACGGGTGTGGGACTGCTGGGGTTCTGGTTGCCTCTTGGTAGGCTGCCACGAGTGGTTTCCAGATCTCCTGCTGCACCAGCTGCAAGGCCTGCAAATGAGCCTGAAGGGAAGAGGTATCAGCATAATTGGATATGTCCGCATCAAAAAATGTTACGGCTGGAGGTGGCGCGCCATAAAGAATCTCAAAGGGGATCAGCCCAGGCCCGGGGTATTTCTAGCTTGATAGAGGGCAAGGGGTAGGAGCTGTACCCAATCCTTTGAGCCAGTTGCGAGCATTAATTTAGATAAAGCCTCATTAATTGTTCTGTTCATTCTCTCTACCTGTCCTGAGCTTTGGGGTCTGTATGCACAATGCAATTTCCAATCGATCCCCAATAACTTAGCCACCAGCTGACTTACCTGGGAGACAAAGGCAGGCCCATTATCTGACCCCAGTACCTGGGGCATCCCATATCGGGGAAAGATCTCTTCCATTAGCTTTTTAGTCACAACCTTTGCCGTTTCATGCTTGGTTGGGAAGGCTTTGACCCATCCTGAAAAAGTATCTATGAAGACTAAAAGATATCTGTATCCATACATACCAGGCTTAATTTCAGTAAAATCTATCTCCCAATGGACACCCGGCCTATGGCCTTTTAGGCGGATTCCTTGACCAACTCGGGCCTTACCAGGGTTGAGCACAGGCCGTACAGTTGTCTGTCACCTGTTGTAGGGCCCTATCCCTATTTAAGAAATATTGTCAAATCTCCACCTGGTCCAGCAGTGTCTTCATTTTTTGGGCACTCAAATGAGTCAATTTGTGTAGAGAGTCAACTAACTCTATGGTCATCTTTATAGGTATTACAGTCTTTCCTTGGTATATCCAGCGATCACGGGATGGATCATAATCCACTCCTACTTTCTGAATAAGATTCAAGTCTTCCTTATCATAGTCCCAGGTAGGGGACTTGGGGGCCTTCCCCGTCTCAGAGAGGACGGTGACCATCAAGAGCTGAGGCCAAGGGCAGCCTGCCTAGCTGTTTCATTGGCCAGGTGATTTCCTTTGGCTTCGGAACTGTTCCCTTTCTGGTGTCCTGGACAATGCATAATACTCAGTCTCGTAGGCAAAAATAGGACTTTCAGCAGCACCAAAATTTCTGCCTTGTTTTTGATCTCTTTTCCCTCCGATGTTAGTAGTCCCCTTCTGCAATATATTTCTCCATGAATATGAGCTGCTGCAAAGGCATATTGGCTGTCCATACAAACATTAAGTTTCTTACCTGCTGCCAGTTGGAGGGTCTGTGTCAGGGTGATGAGTTCCGCTCGCTGAGCGGAGGTGCTGCCAGGCAAGGCACTGGCCCAAACTACCTGGTTTTCAGTGGTTATTGCGGCTCCTGCCCGCTGTTCTCCATTTAACAGGTAGCTGCTGCCATCCGTGTACCATGTGTAGTCGGCATCTGTGAGAGGCTGATCGCTAAGATCATGACGAGTTCCATGCATTTCCTCAAGGATCTGTTGGCAGTCATGGGAGGCAGGACCCTTCGGCAGGGGCAGCAGGGTAGCAGGATTGAGAGTCACCATGGGCCCAAATTGAATT